AGTACTGAAACCACACAGATATCCCTCAGAAATTCATTTATAGAGCTAAAGTGAAAGCTGATACCAATTGATGCTTCGGACTCCTACTCTGAGTGTTGCTGGAGGAATGTTGGAGATGTGGACATAGGTTTGGGTGTGAAGATGCACAATGATTAGTGGGATTTGGACAAATGCTTATGCTCAATTAAATAAATGGGTTGGATCCTATTACTCCGCTCAGTTACCTACGGAGCCTTCCTGTGATGTAAGGAGCCTTCCATTGGAGAAAGAGCCTCTTTGGTGTAGTGGTTAAGTGTGCGGACTCTAATCTGGGAGAACCGGGTTTGGTTCCCCACTCCTCCACTTGCACCTGCTGATGTGACCTTGGGTCAGTCACAAGCTCTGGCACAGTTGTCCTTGAAAAAGGGCAGTTTCTGTCAAGAGCTCTCTCAGCCCCACCCACCTCACAGGGTGTCTGTTGTGGGGAGGGGAAGGGAAAGGAGTTTGTAAGCCGCTCTGAGACTCCGAGTGAAGGGCGGGGTATAAATCCAATCTCTTCTTCTTCTTCTTCTTCTTCTTCTTCCACTGGAGGAAGGCCTCACACACAGCTGAGCAGAGTGGTAGGATCTAACCCAACAGCATTACAGTTAGTTCCATACAAATTTTTCCTGGAGCGAAACTGTCCTGTCTCCCCTTCCCACTATAGCTCATTGACCCTCATGAAATGCTGCTCCTAGGACACGGGACCCTGAGTGGGAGGAGTCTGCAGCAAAGGAGAGAACTAGAGAGCTAGCAGACCTCACCTTCTGTTAATGGGAAATATAGTTTGGATCCAGCCATCAGTAAAGGAGTTACAGTTTTCAGACATGCATGTCCTAATGGCATACATTCTGATAGTACGGAACTATAAAACAGGACATTTAAAAAGTAGCTTTTTCGAGCCCTCTTAACAGCAAAGAGATTGCAGTCCTGGAAGGAGAAATATCTATTTTCAATGCATCAGTGGACAGATTGACTGCTCAAGCCCATTACAAAATGGTTTATTACCACAGATTCCTATGAACTGACCGATATCAAGATACTTGGTCTCCTTATATGAAAATATTTTCATGATTAATGGTATCTCTTGGCAGCAGGGGAAGCAGATAAACCTTGACCACAAAGAAATAGCCTATTTTTTCACTTGAAATGAATCACGTTCGACGCCCTCCCCACCTATGCACACACACACATCTTTTGTTTTCTTAGGATGGGTTAGGATTTAGTCAGGATGTTTTGAAAGAGGGCAGCCAGAATGGTGAGAGGGCTGAAAGAGTTGGGTATATTTAGCCTGTGAAAGAGAAGACTTAAAGGGGACACGATTGCAGTCTTCAAGTATTTGAAGGGTTGTCACGTAGAAGATGGAGCAGATCTATTCTCTCTTGCTCTGGATTGCAAGATTAGATCTAATGGGTGGAAATTACAAGGGAGTCGTTACCAGTGTTCCCTCTAAGCTGAGTTAGTGTGAGCTCACAGTTTTTTAGCCTCCGGCTCACAGATTTCTGTCTTCGCTCGGGAAGGATGGCTCCAGAGCAAAGTGATTTATGCAGGAGCCAAATCACTTGCTCACAACTTCAATGCCAATAACTCACAAAGTAGCATTTTTGCTCACAAGACTCCACAGTTTAGAGGGAACATTGTTACTGGCTAAATATCAGGAGAAACTTCCTAACTGTAAGAGTGGTTGAGCAGTGGAACAGACTGCCTCGGGAGGTGGTGGATGCTCCTTCACTGGATGTTTTCAAGTAGAGGCTGGACGACCATCTTTCGGGTATGTTGTTGGGCTATCTTTCGGCTATGCTCCTGCAGAGTGCAGGGTGTTGGACTAGATGACCTGCAAGGTCCTTTCCAACTCTAAAATAAGAATTATTTGTGTGTGCGTAAAGTGCTGTCAAGTCACAGCCAACTTATGGCAACCTCAGCAAGGAGCTTTCAAGTCACGTGAGAAGCAGAGATGGTTTGCCATTGCCTTCCTCTGCAAAGTCTTTCTCGGAGGTTTCCTGTCCAAGTTCTGACCCTGCTTAGTTTCTGAGATCTGATGAGTTCGAGCCATACCGTGCTGCCTTCCCTCCCTAATTATGTGTATGCAGCACAATTTTCCCATGACATGATTTTTTTATTTTTTAAATATCTTGAATGCTTTATGTACTTAAATCTTGGCTACTAAATTATTCTAAATGATACTTGGCCAGTAAATGATGCTTGGCTACTAAATTATTCATGTTAATGCCCCCCCCCCCCCGGGTTGAGTTGTGTGTAAAAAAAGAATCCAGCTTACTTGAACTTTAGTGACAATAGAAATAGAGAGGAGGGAACAGAAATACCCTGTGATTGGTAAATGTATTGCCATTTTTATTTATTTATTTGAGACATTTATTAGCTGCCTTTTTACCTCATGGAATTACCTTTTTACTTCACGGATGGCTTACAACGTAAACTAAACAACAATAATAAAAAACATGCAAAAGACCATGATTTAAAATCTCAATTAGGATTGCTAATAAATAAAAACTAAATTAGTCAAATGCAGCCCTAAACAAAACTGTCTTCAACTGCCTCGTGAAGATCAAAAGTGAGGGGGTTAGGCACGCCTCCCAGGGGAGGTTATTCCATAATAGTGGAGCTGCCGCCCAAAAGGGCCTTCTCTCATGTGCCCAACAGACAAGGTACTTTGTTTGGTGGGACAGTCAGGAGGGACTTTCCCCACAATCTTAATTCCTGGACAGGAACGTATGGGAGAAGACGGTCCTTTCGCTACCCTTGTCCCAAGTCACGTAGGGCTTTAAAGGGCAAAACTGACACCTTTAAGTGGACTCAGGAGCAGACTAGTAGCCAGTGTAATTGCTGTAGAATTGGGGCCACATGCTCCTGGTAGCTGGCCCCAGCCAGCAGTCTAGCCCTAACAATCTGCATGAGCTGCAGCGTCTGAACATTCTTCAAAGATAGCCTCAAGTAGAGCTCATTGTAATAGTCTAATCTAGCTGTAATTAAGGCATGGATCACTAGCTAGATCTGACTTAACCAGGAATGAGCGCAGCTGATGCACTAACCAGAGCTGGGCAAAAGGACTCTGAGCCAGTGCAGCCACCCAGTTTTCTAAGGTGACTGCTGTGTCAAGCAGCACTCTCAAGCTGCAAACCTTGCTTTTCAAGGGGAGTATATCCCCATTCAAGACAGGAGGGATCTCCAGTCTGCTTTTCTGCTAACCCACAGAACCTCTGTCTTGTCAGGATTAAGTTAAAGCCCTACATGGCTTGGGACCATCTGAAAGACTGTCTTCTCCCATACATTCCTGCCCAGGAATTAAGATGGCAGGGAGAGGCTCTCCCAACTATCCCATCAATCAAAGAAACTTGTTTGGTGGGTACAGGAGAGAGGGCCTATTCAATGGCAACCCCACAATCCAGGAAGGTGCACCTGCCCCCCTCATTTTAGATCTTTAGGAGGCAATTGAAGACAGTCTTATTTAGGACTGCATTTGGTTAAGTTTTGCTAGCAGTCCTGAGTTGTGATTTCTAGTTTTGGCTTTGATGTTTTTAATATCTGTTTATCTATGTTGTAAGCCAACTTGAGCTCTGTAAGGAGGAAAGACGGCTAATTAGTGTTTTAAATAAATAAAGTTTCAGCTTGTTCACCCTCATCCAGCCCATTACTGACTCTAAGCACTGGTTCAGAACATCAACAACATCCCCGAAATTAAGTAGGCGAGAAAGGTAGAGCTGGATATCATCCACCTATTGGTGACACCGCAGCCCATATCTCATCCTCCCAGTGGCTTCACATAGGTATTAAATAGCATGTGTTCTTTAATTTTTCCTTAACTTGTCGAAATTCCTAAAAGTAATATATCTCAGGCATAACAGTGGTGTTTGAAGTTGAACAGAAACACAGATTACCCCTTGCCTTGGTTGCCCATGGCAAACGTAACTGGGGTTTCCAGGCAAGCTGGAGATGTTTCATTCCATATTCAGTTAATGCTTGAAGCTCTCACTGCAGTAACTGGCCACTGCCCCTATACAGCTCTGCAATTTGGGCTTGTTTCTTTCCCTTCCCTAATAGCCAGTTACTACAACAAATGATTGCATACAATTCTGTTGTGATGGCAGTTAGAGTGATGAGGGCATGTCCTTTTAATCTGGAGGTCAGTGAGTTTGGGCAGATCCCTCGTGGTACTAATGCCAAAGGGCTGATATGTTCAGATTAGAATGTTATGTTGTGTTGAGCATTTTTAAGTGTTTAGACTGTGTGAACACTGGTCTTTTACTGTCAGAGTAAAAAAAAAATGCCTCTCAGTTTGTGTCCACTGTTGTCCATTGGGTTTAGTTTTTTCAAAAAACGGTTTCTGGAAATTGTGTAGTTGAACCTAGATGCAATGGGCTTCAGGGCCAAGGGAAATGTGTACTACCGGATGCCACTGCTTAGTCAACCGCCATTTAAAAGTGCTTCTCTGCTGTTCCTGACTATGGAGGTCATTGTCCTTGTTTTGGGTTCAAAGGTTGATAATATGGCTACAGTTTTCATTGCCAGTCTATAACTTTACAGCCTCATCCTCAACCAGTATGGGGAGGCTGGAAGTGTCTCATGAGCTGTATACTTTTTTTGTATTGACATACAAGGCTAAGGTGCAATGCGCTTTACTCATGATTAAAATTCATGATGGGGAAGATTCATGTTCCTAGTGCCTTAGCAAGTGATTATAAAACTTAAAGGATTTCCCCCCCTGGTCTTGATAACTTTTCAAGAATGCCTTTATAAAACGAACCCATCAGTTCTGCAAGAGCTTAACATCATCACTACTAAAATTAGGTTTCTGGCTGTTTTATAAACTGTACAACATAATGGAGGGAAGGCAAGCTAAAATCAACATTTTTCTATGGCATGACATTATTTTTACTTTAATCTTGTGCTTTCTTTTTATATCTTGCTATTTGTTTACAGTATATTTTAGCTCAGAATTGAAGCTGACCTTTTTCTTTTTAAAGGCTATAGATCTGGCAGCATACGCCACTCAGCATGCTCAATTCAAGGACTGGTGGTGGAAAGTGCAAATTGGGAAGTGTTATTACAGGTAAAACAGTTCATCCAGTGTTCAGACTAGTGTGTGATCCAGTCCACTGTGAACGCAGTGCTCATACATCATGGGCTCTCCAAAGGTTGGGGGAGTCCTGCCCCCCCCCTCTACAACATACCTGCATCAGACTACTGGAAATGGCAGCCTGTGTAGGCCTCCCTTATCCCCATTTGCCTGCTCCATCCAAGTAGAGGGTAGTGAGAAGAGTGGTGGTACAGAAAGCATGTGCAGGCTGCCTTCCAGTCCCTCAGTATACTGAGTGCCCCTGTGGGCACACCAAGAAAGGAGGAGGGGGAATGGGTTCTGTTATGCCCTATAGATCTCCTTCCACAGGCATTACACTTGTGGTAGATTGGATTGAGCTCCTGATATGTAATAAAGTCTGAACTATTGATAAGTAACCTGCATTGAAGGATGCTATGGAAACCATATAAGAAGTCATATGGTAGGCTCATGGTTTGGGGAATCAGAAAAGTCTCATGCTGCCAAGTTTGGGGAACCAAGTTAAATTGGTGGTTTCCAGTTCAGATTTGGGGACTTCAGGGATCACGGCAAACAATGGTTTTGCTCAATTCAGAGAGGGAATGGGTAGAGTGAAGAGGGTTATGTCTGATTTGGATGAACTTCTGTACCAATCCACTGTCTGATCTATATAATGAGAGGAACATGTATTTAGCAAACAGCGGGCACTATTGTTTACATTTAAGTTAAATTAGAGAGAATTGATGATAAAGTGTGGAAGATGTGATGTCTGAAGCTGGAAAAACATGTTCCACATGTCATGGCACTCCAGCCAAAAATCAGATCCATGTTTCAACCCCTTCTCCTTGTTATGCATGACCTCCATCATGTGAATTTCCCCATCACTCTGGTAGAGTGGGGGTCTAAGGAAATGTACAATATGGGGATGTTGTATCACAGACTGAAAGCTTCAAGACATTATAGATGGCAGGAGCAAAATTAACCCAAGGATGCTGTTTCTCTTCTTTCTTCTTTTTTATTTTAAGTTTTCAAACTATTACAAACATTTAAACAAAACACAACAAGTTTGAAATGTTATCAGTGTCTCTCCGAAACAGGAATCCTGTCTAGTGACAAAAGAACATTCTTAGGATGTATAACATGAAGCTCCTCAAGACTTAGCCGTCCCTCAGGAGTACTTGATGAGATCGTCGAATTTCTGTGGTATAGACTGCCACAAAGATGAAGTGTTTCCAAAGGCATATTCCAGGAATGGAGACCATTTAAAGATAAATAAACATGCCTTAAGCTAGAACTACAAGCAGGGAAACACCAGTTTCCCAAATCTGTAAATGGAATAGCCCTATCAGATTGCAGTTTAGTTTCCTTTATATTTTTGGAATAAAAGATTATGATAGTCCAATTTTATGCCTTAGCCAGGTTATCTGTATTATCTTTTCTTGTGGAATTTGGAATCTCCCCCCCCCTTTACTGAACTTCCTCTAAACCACCTCATTCAATTTTATTTATTTTGTTTTTGAACAAATTGGGAACCAGAGCAGGTTTAGTTATTTATGTATTTATTTTATTTCACTTATATCCCGCCCTCCCCGCAAGCGGGCTCAGGGCGGCTTACATAGGCACAACTGTGCAATAAAATACAAGAAGATTAAAACACTTAAGGCACCAAGTGCAATAAAAATAGGACAAGTTAAAACAATTAAAACAAAAACTCACATCTTGTAGGATACATTAGGAACTAAAATACTCACTCCCTATTGTATATCGCAGTGGGATCAAAGAGGGGGGATGCCATGGGCCAAGTGGCCAGTCGGCCCAACCCGGTGGTCCTGCTCTGCAATTACTTGGTGGTGGTGGCGGCGGCGGCGGCTCCTACTCAAAAGTCTGGTGGAAGAGCTCCATCTTGCAGGCCCTGCGGAACTGTAAGAGGTTAGGACAGCCACGCTGTCTCTGAGGCTGCAAGGAGCAGGGCTTGGGGTCCTGTAAACTACTTCTGTGGGCCCTAGGTAGCCTCTGCTGCAGAGCGCTCTTCCTCTTCCACTAGAACTTCCAATTGCGCAAGGTCAATGATTTTCAGTGGGTCCCTGAACAACCTGAAGTTTTAGCAGAGGAGGGAGCACGCTCCGAGGCAAATGCACACACAGAACATGTTCATAGGATCCAAGCCCAGGATTGGAAAATGCATTTTGAACTGGATAAAATCAAATTTGAGAGAGGAGGCATGTGCAGGCAGTTTAGAAAGGAAAAATCTCCTTCTCTCTTTTCTTTCCATCTGTGGTTTAAAGCACTAACAGTCTGGCCCAGTGTTTAAAGGGGACATAAAAATATTCTTGCTGTCACGGAATCTACTAAATGATTGGCTAAAAGTTAGAGCGGCATCATTGAACTGAGGAGTTAAACCGCTAGTCTAGCGCATCCTCTCTGAGGTTTGTTAATGCCTTCTGAAACAAACAATGCAGAACAGTTAGAGGCCTTCAAAGTTCCTAATTACGTTGCTAATCATGGTGTTGTTTTTATAGCTCCCATACAACTGCAGGAATATATAAATAGGCTCTAATATAATGCTTCAATTACCTTTTAACCTGCTACATGTAGAGTATATTCTGAAAGACAAGGAAGAATGAATAATACTGTGGTTGAAATTATTTTTATAGTCTTCGTTAAGAAGTACTGCGGGAAAATAAGAGAGCAAAACCCAGCTTAGCACATTTTGGCTGAGTGAATGAAAAGGGATGAAGTGAGGGTTTAAAACTTCACTTAGGCATTAATTACAGTAGCTCTGTCACATGCTTCCTGGAAAATATCTTTTGGCGCTGCAGGAAAGAACAAGCAGTAGCACCATATATACTATAGATGAGCAGAGTCCCAGTGAGCTCATTGAGATTTTATCCACCTAAATGGTCTATGAATTTCCCCCTTGAATGTTCTTTTTTTCTAGGTTCAATGGATTACGGGAAGGTTTATCCAACAGGAATACTGTTAGGATAAAGCTAACTCTTAACAAAGTTTGGGCAATTCCAGGAAGGATTTCAAAGACCTTTGCATAACTGGGGACAGTGGGGAGACTGAAAATGTAAATTTCTAAAACGTAATTTCTAATGTAATGACTCTTCCATATTGATGGAAATTATTTATTCTATCCTTTTGTCGCTCATAATTTAGACATTCATAAAATTGTTCCCAGATAGTTTTTCAGGCATATGCTTATATTGTATCTTTCCTCAGGTTAGGATTGTATCGTGAAGCAGAAACTCAATTTAAATCGGCTCTCAAACAGCAAGATATGGTAGATACGATACTGTATTTGGCAAAAGTAAGTTGGCATTTAGAATTTAGGGTTGTTCTTTTCAGGTTAATGGCGTGGAACTATAGGCTAAAATGTGAGATAACAGCAGGGTGGAAAAACTAGTATAATATTTTTGATTTAAATATTACTTTGAAATAGAGCCACTTTTTAATATTCTTCTCAAAAATCTTATATTTAATAAATGTTAATGACACTCCAGAATTTCATTGTTTTATCCAAGTTGTAGTATTTGCAATAGTCTTCTTTCTTTCTTTCTTTCTTTCTTTCTTTCTTTCTTTCTTTCTTTCTTTCTTTCTTTCTTTCTTTCTTTCTTTCTTTCTTTCTTTCTTTCTTTCTTTCTTTCCTGTAACTAAAAGCAAACATGCACTTATTTCTTATATCCTCAATTTGGTACACAACTAACTTAGCAAAATCACAAGAACCGCTCATAATTTCACTCTGGATTTTTTTTCTTCTTCCATAGAATACACCTCCAAAAATGCTGGTTGGAAGGGGGTCAGGGGCAAGTTCATCTTGTCCTATAGCCATAATGTGGTTATACAGTCCTACCAAGTTATGTGAGTACACAGGGGAGTAATATGCCCACCGCCACGGATGACTTTGAAGCTTTCCCTGCAGCCACTTGCTCCCATTGCACAGCCATGGCATTTCTAAGTAGATATTATATTTCCTGTCCAGCTGTGCGAGTGGCTGCATTTGAAGCTTCAAAGACTGCTTGGGCTTTATGTATGGGACTCCCCCTGTATAACTGCAAAGTACTGTCCAAGGTGCTGATATTAATGAGCATGTCCTCATTTTTTAAGAAAGGTCAGGTTTGACAGCAGCTGTTTCCAAAACATTTCATGCTGAGCTGTTTTTCAAAAGCAATCCAAGACCAGGTTGAGGTGGGAAACAAGTAGATTGCCATATAGTCTCTTTTTATATATAAATTTGTCGCTTAAGCTGTTTACACAGATGGGATGTTGATAGAGGAAATGGGTTCAGAAGTTAACAAAGTGAAAACAAATATGACAGCCACAAGGTGGAAATTTCCTTAGAGTTTTAATGCAGAGGTTGCTGAGACAAATCCTTTGGGAATCTCTGTACAGCTTATAAACATGAATTTACAGTGAATGCTTTGAAGGAAGCTGTGGATACAGCTTTAACACTGACATCCAGAAATGAGATTTGCCAGTAAAAGGCTGTTGCAGTCAAATTGCTTAAAACAACTCTTTTATTGGTAATGTCTCTTCTGATGCAGCCAGAGCTTCACATATCCTCACCACCACTAAAACTAACCAGTCTCATTTATTATTTTTACCCAAGAAGTGATTACTTTTGCATGTCCATACAGGAGAGATTAAGAAGTAGTTAGCAAAGGTACTGCACTGATCCTGATGTTCTTATTTTTATGGCACTTTATTAAGCCAATTTTTCAAACTTTCTCGTGGTATGCTCATCACATAGTTCTTGTTGGAGGTCTTATTCCACTCAGCTGGTTGCATCTCCTCAAGGAAGACAGTCATGGGGTGTTTTTTCCAGTTGAAATGCCGCAATTTATGTATTTGCTGTTGTAGCCATAGCAATAGTCTGTTTCCTTATTCTTAAAGTGGGTACAGTTTGTGCTGTGCTGTATTGCCTGTTATGTGTAATGAGAACACCAGTGACAGCTGGCTTTCTGTTGTCTAGTATGCTGTGTCAGCATTACATTATTCATTATGTTATTTCATTGGTATGACTTGATCTCAATGGGTTTGCTGAAATATACTAATGCCACTCAAGCAAGCACAGTGAAACTGAAGACACTGATTGTTTATTGAGTTCCTTTCTGGCTTGGAGGTTACAGGTAAGTGACTCTGTGGTTGCCTAAAAAATGTCAGAGGGTGGGGGGATTGGGGGGAGCCAGAATTACCTCATTCTTGTCTGACATTACAGAGGCTGGAATCCTGTGAACAAGTTCTGTGCATATTAGATTGCCTCCACCTCAGAGTGTGCTTCCGTTGAATCTTCTGTTTGCAGAAGAGCAATGGCTTTTAATGGGCCCATGTCTTTTAGAAGAAGAGGAAGCGCACTTCGCAACAGACAAGTGCACGCAGAACTATTTCATGAGATCCAAACCATAGACTGCAGCCATGGCATTTGGTTGGAACTGAATCTAAGGGTGGAACTGTGGAAGAAGCGCAGTATGGTATAGCACTCAGAATGTCAGCTGTGTGCTGTGTTCTCCCTTTGTGTAGCATGCAGAGCAACTTACCATAGGGCAGGGGTGGCCAGACTGTGCGGCTCCCAGCAGGGTGGCTGGGGAAGTGAAAGGGAGGCATGCCTCCCCAATCGGTCTTCCTTTCCCCAGCCAGTGTGCCCCTCCCTGGGTAGGGTTGAGATGGGGGGAGCAGAGAAAGAAAGCAACTTTAACATTAGATGTGTTCTTAAAGACCTCCCCCCTCCACTGGCCGGCTTGAAGAAGGCATTTGTCTCTTTAAATCCCTTCTCCAAGCCAAGCCAGCTGGAGGGGGGAGGCATGGGGGTCTTGTAAGATGCATTTAAAGTTAAAGTTGCTTTCTTTCCACTTCCCCCTCCCTCCCCCATATATTTGCTTTCTTTCTACCTTTCTTTCTTTCTCTCTCTCGTTCTCCCCTCCCTCCCTATTTAAAGTTAGATATCATTATCAATATCTGTTTTTACCCCTTTTGTTTTTATTTTTTGGCAGTCTCATTTAATGTTAATAAAAAGCAAATTTGCATATTTTCCACTAAAAATGTGTGGGTTATATTTGTTCATGTCTTGTGACTCTCAAACATCTGACATTTATATCTATGTGGCTCTTATGTTAAGCAAGTTTGGCCACCCCTGCCATAGGGTATTATGCTGTATATTTCCCTCCCTCCACGCTACAACAGTGGCTCATGTAGCACAAGTTACAACTGTCAGTTATGGAACCTTTTTGTCGATCTTGTGTATTGACATAGGCACATCTGCCATTTGTTTACTCAGGTGTATTCCCGCTTGGATCAGCCTTTGACAGCTTTAAATGTTTTCAAGCAAGGATTAGATCGGTTTTCCGGAGAAGTCTCCCTACTTTGTGGTATTGCCAGGATCTATGAGGTACGCAAGCCAAGCCGTCAGCTTACAGAAAGGATCAGTACACCCATTGTTGCCCTCAAAAATTCACTGGATAGATTTCTAGCATTTTCAAATGCTAATTGGATAATGCTACAGGCGGGGAAATCAAGCTCAGATGACTTTGTTATGACAGAGCAGCATTTCCTAGTTCAAAGACGAAACTGCATCCAGTAAAGAGAGGCAGTTCTAACGGAGAGCTTGTGATCCTAGGTCTTCCTTATGTAGTTCTTGCTCTTTCAGTCTGAAAGCAACAAATGTTTTTGTGGCAAAGCCCCTGTCTGCAGGATTAACCAGCATTAGTCTTTTCAGATCAGCACTTCATCAGGAAGGGGAGTAACTGGGAATTCATTAAGTCAGTAAGAATTACGGAATAGGCTAAATACTCCAGAGAATTAATAACAGTTCATTTTCAGTGGAGATAGAAGGTTAGTATTTATTGAAGTCATTGTATAGATTGTTTTTCCTTATGCTCAAAGAAGATTAAGAAAGGTAGACACAGGACAATCCAAGGCACACGAGAATAAATTAAAACTTTATAAAACAGCACAGCTGAAATGAAAACAACAAAAATAATCTACACTGTATACTCAACAGAGAGGTTGGAAGTCAACTGGGCTGAGGGGTCGGATCCAGACGAAATTTTCCAAGTTCAGAATGGAACTTTCCTGTCTCTCCCTCTGCAGTCCACTGACCTCCCAAAAATGCTGCTCCCAAGGGATAGGGGGCCCAGAAGAATGGCTGAGGGAAGTCTGCAGTACAAAGGGGGAATTGATGGAAATTGCCAGTTTAGTCTGGATCCAAGCCAAGATAGAACCATAGAGTTAGAAGGGGCCATACAAGCAATCTAGTCTAAACCCCTGCCCATCAATGCAGGATCAGCCTAAAGCATTTCAAGAAGTGTTTGTCTAGCCACTGCTTGAAGACTGCCGGTGTGGAGGAGCGCACCACCTCCCTAGGCAGCTGATTCCACTGCTGAACTACTCTTACTCTAAAAAGAAATCCTAATATCCAGCCGATACCTTTCTGCCCATAATTTAAACCCAAAATCATGTAGTGCTTTCTGAAAGTAAACAAGGAGCCCAGACCCCTTGCTCTTGTGTGTGTGTGTGTGTGGGGGGGAGTTCATTCCATAATAATGTATGGTAGACAGAAGCACCTGTTAAAAGTTTAAAGCTTTTTAGTGCTCTTCAAGTGTTTTCAGTATTTTCCTAATGGCAACAGACTATTTAAAATGATACCCGGCTGTTTTCTGCAAGCTTGTTCACTGTTAAATTGCCATGGTTTATTGAATTTCTCTTGCTATTTATAGACTGCCACAAGATAAACATGACTATATAATAGCATCCATTTCCTGCAGCTTGAAAAGACACTGATTTCTGATGGTTCACCCAGTCTTTTCTGTTCATAACGGTCCAAAGCTTTTTAAAAAGATGGGTAAAGGCCCCATTTCCCAAAGTGGAAGGCAGGCTTCCCTCAACAAATGGTCAGAAGCACAGGCTCCTCCCCCAATATTCCCAACCTAACCTCTGCAATGGAAAGGTCTTACTCAGAATGTTTGCAGTAGAGCAGACCATTGTAAATCCCCTTCTGAAGCCATATTCCAGACAACAAATAGCAATTTTAAACAATCTTTTCTTTATGTTGACTTGTTGCTACAAATAAACAGATTAAAGTATCTGTAAAAGTGAAGTCCAGATATGTACACTGTCAAATAATTAAAATTTATCTTTTGAACATTTTTCCTTGAAGTGGGAAATATGTAATTTCATAATTATGTTACACTTGTGTGTATGCACATCATTTGAAATACATTTGTTCTTCAGCAATTAAATGATAGGTGGACGTATTTTATAAGATTACATGTAAGCTAATTGTACTAGATACTGTATAATAAAGCCATAGGATTGAAGTTATCTGGATTGACAGTTCTCTAGCAATTCATTTGTATACTGTGCATGTCCTCTGCTAATTGCTAGTATCATAGTTTAGTGTTATAGTGTCAGATATAATAAAAACTACAAAAATATTTTTAATTTAATTATTCCAACTTTGTCTAGGAAATGAACAACATTTCTGCAGCTGCAGAATACTATAAAGATGTCTTAAAACAAGACAATACACATGTGGAAGCCATTGCGTGCATTGGAAGTAATCATTTCTATTCAGACCAGCCTGAGATAGCATTGCGGTTTTATAGGTAAGGAAGTCTATGTATGTGCAGAAATTATTTAAGACAATAAAATGTTCGCATAAAAAGGAAATGCAAATCCTTACCTGAAACAAATATTAAACTAGACCAAATGAATGGGACTTTGCAAAAATCTTAGGATCATAGCCCTGGGAAGAGCTTTCTATTTTATTTATTTTATTTTATTTATTTGATTTTTATCCCGCCCTCCCGCCGAAGCGGCTCAGGGCGGCTTACAACATTAAAACCAATAAAACAATGCCTCTAAAACAATCTATAACAGTACAATAAAATCGCTATTTACACACAGTACAACATACCCATGGCGGCAACTATAAAGTGCAATCATGCTTAGTCTGAGTTGTTAAATGCTTGACGGAATAGCTCCGTCTTCACCGCTCTCTGGAATTGGCAGAGATCCCGGAGAGCGCGGATCTCATGAGGGGGCTGGTTCCATAATGTTGGTGCAGCCAAGGAGAACGCCCTAGTTCTAGTAGTTGTTAGTTTGGCATCCCTAGGGCCAGGGGGGACTAGCCGGTCCTGCGACCCAGATCTCAGTGTTCTCCGGGGAACGTTCCTGTGCTTGGAGCATTCCTGATAAGGATCCACACAACCTTTTCTTTAAAACCTACTAGGGATGAGATTTCACAGTCTCCTTTAGTGTCCTATTCTGTGGTAGGAGTCCATATTGGAGCTAGTTCCCAAGCCAGCTTTGCTCCAGTTCCCAGGAGAGCTATGCATATGCAGGGAGGGGACCAGATTATGGATTCTTCCCGTGTGATCATGTTCTTCTAATGTTTCCCAATAGCATCATAAAAGTTCCATGCCACAGCGACTCCCATGCTTCTTTACTTCTTTTGAGCTTCAGGTGTTTCTGTAGTTCGGATAGTTTCATGATCCATGCTGCAAACTTACAGATAAACACACACATTTTCTTGAATTAGGCGGCTCCTGCAGATGGGTGTTTATAACTGCCAGCTGTTTAACAACCTGGCCCTGTGTTGCTTCTACGCCCAGCAGTATGACATGATTCTCAGCTCCTTTGAACGTGCACTTTCTCTGGCTGAAAATGAGGAGGAGACAGCTGATGTTTGGTACAACCTGGGGCATGTCGCCGTGGTAAGAGCAAGATTTGTTACATTATCATGTGCGGAAAAGTTGAAACATTAATGTGAGGCTGGGAAGTTTTTCAGAAGCCTTTAAAGTACTGGACAGTTAATAGTATTGGACCCCCTTGGAAAATTGCTTTGAATTGCCTTGCAAAGCATTTTGTGGATGAAATCATTTGCATCTATTTTGACATGGATTAGGGTTTGTTGCTGCTTGAGAACACTGACAATGATCTTAGAGAGACTAACAGTGCAGAATTATACCCTTCTAAGACCAGTCAATGACTTCATGGCCTTAGAAGGGTCTAACTCTGTTTAGGATTCAACACTACCAGTGCTATTGACGCCCTCAAGTTAGTTTGCCACTCTCACACTTGCTTTGGTACCAGTCAGATTAGACTGCTGTAATGTGTTTTTTGTGGGACTGCCTTTGAAGATGGTTTGGAGATTTTCATTGCTATAAAATGTAGCTGCTAACAAATTTTGCTATAATGTGCATATAAAACCAGCTACAACTGCCTCCCAGGAAAAAAGTTGACACACACACCCCCCCGAACCACAGCTATGATCCAATTTGTGGGACTTCAGAGCAATTTTGAAACCAAAAAAGAGTTGAGAGACCTGAGAACAGATGTCGCACATGATGTATAGACTGGCCCTTAGATCAGCAGTGATTTATCAAACTCAGTAAGAAGCTAAATATCGCATACATAAGCAGCATAATGTCCATCCATAAAAAATAACTTCTCTATTAGCTTTTTAAACTGCCCTAAATTCCAACAACATGGTGCACTTTGAAAGCCCGTAACCTGTAAGGAATGGTTATATGGCTTAACAAAGGCTGTTTAATGACCTCAGGATTTCTAGAGCTAGGGACACTCTAGATTTTCTTTTCTTTTCTTTTTTTAAGTCCCCAGAGGGATATTTTTTATTTTGCGAATACAACCAAAACTACAAATAAATATTAGGGAAAGGACTACAACTAAGGATAAAGGAAAGCAAACCACACTAAACTAAAACCTCAAGAGGAGGAGATCTTTTCACTGTTAGTAAAAATGTTAGTACGATTAGTTTTACTATCACAATATACTTGTAGAGTTCTTGCTTATAACAATTCGCTATTTAGATTTTCAATAGTGAGGTCTGGCCAGTCTCCTGTACTGTCCAATTGCGTAGGTGTAAGCTGCTTAGCCCCTCTATGATCTCAAAAGGAGCTAAGAAAGAAACAAAGAGGGGAAGAAAACTTAACCCAAATATTGGAATCAAGAACCGAAAAGGTTAACAACTAGCCAAGTAAAGTGCCTATAGTTATTTATATATATATATATATATATACACACACACACAAACTAGAAATAAGGCTCGTTGTGGAAATAAATACAACGAGCTCTAGAAAGAGGCTCTGGGAGAGTGCCAAAGCCTTGGGCACTCAGCGTCAATGTGCTGTGGCGACTTCAGCAGGGTATAATGACACAGTCCACCATTTTCTCCAGAGGAACCGCCCATCTGTATGATATCCCATTAGTTTGAAGGAAAGAAATTAAGTCCTTGTAATTTTTCCTCTTTTGTCTAATTTCAAATGGAATGTCTTTAAGGTTTTGATGATTACATTTCCCATTTTCAGTGGAGTTGCTGATATTGCTTTTAAAATGGCATCTGTGGTTTGTCTTCTTGAAAACCTGGCCACTATTTCTCCAGGTAGGCTATTTTTTTAATGTAATTGGAGGATGCCCTATAGGCTGACTCCATTTCATTTACAAGTTCTTCCGCAGTTAAGCCTACTACTGGAGCGATGATCTCACTAAGCACCCTCTTCAAGTCTTCCCGATCCGTTTCAGGAACTCCCTGAAACCTGAGAATCATGTTAGCTTTTTCCATCTGTAGCTGCAAAACTCGA